TCTTCTTTTGTTGAATGCGAATATTTATCCTTGGAGAGGGTAAGTCTCTGATAAAATGGCACTCTGTGCCACATATTGACTTTACTATTCTCACATCCTGTCTGTCTCTTCTCCTTACAGTCACGTAGTCTGTTAAATGCCAATGTTTGCTGTGAGGGTGCATCCACAAAGTTTTATTGAATTTAGGTAAATAGAAGACAGTGTTGGTGATGAGAAGGTCATGAGATGCACAAGTCTTCCATAGTAAGTGACCATTGATGTTGCTGTTTCCAACTCCATTCCTTCTAAGGACTCCCTGCCATTTCTGGTAGTCTGAGCCTACTCTGGCATTAAAGTTACCCAGAATTATAAGCTTGTTCTCTTTTGGCACATTGATGATAAGGGTCTGCAGGTCTTCATAAGAGTTTTCTTTGACCTCAGCAGGATTCATCATAGTAGGAGCGTAGGCACTGATGATGGTGGCATAGTGTTTTCCTGCAAGTGGCAGTCTCATTGTCATGAGTCTCCTGTTACTCTTTGGTAGGCATACAAGCTTGTTGGCTAGATTAGTTTTTATTGCAAAACCTACACCAGCTTCATGGCATTCCTACTCATTATAGCCACTCCAGAAAAATGTGTATCTAGCTCTGACTTACACGTAAGCTGGCCTTCGTTTGCCAGTTTTGTTTCACTCAGGCTGCTATTTGGATGTGATACCTGGTCAGTTCTTTGCAACAAGAGCTGTTTGTTTTTCAGGTCTACTGAATTTTGTGTTGTCTATAAGTATGTGCATATTCCGTGTACTGATGCTAAGTGGAATCATCTTTGCAGAAGTTTTTTTTGTATTTCATCTGCAGGGTGGGATCCCTGCCTGCCACAGTAATGAGGCCAGGGTTGGTTAAGCCAGCTATTTTTAGAGCACCTTCTCTAGCCTCTTCCTCACACCAGGAGGTGAGCAGTGTGATCCTTAAAAGGCTGCTCAGACACACCCAGGGGGCTGCCAAATCCCACTGCTGCTTCCAGTGAGAAGACGATGTTATGGCCTAGGCTTCTTGTGTGCAGGATTGTGACTACAGCTCCCAGTGTATCCACATCTGCTGCTTTGTCACTTGCCTGTCACCACAGGACTTTGAGATAGATAAAAATGGTAAAATGGTATAGGTTATGTCTTTTGATTTGTGTGTAAATTGGATTTAAGTGAGACAGAGTTGCATGAAGTCCTTGGCCTCACTCTCTTGACCAGAGTTATTGCAGTCCAGTGATAGGAGAGAGTCAAGGCGACTGGCTTGAGATGTAGTGGATGACCTTGGTGAATTCGATGTCTAGCCACGCTCTAAGCGCTCCATAGAACCTGCTTCCACCACCTTCATGTCCGTTGGAATAAAGTGTTCTCATCTGCCCATTCCACCAGGGAAAGTCTTCATATGCTTGGGGTAGACACCCCAACTCACCAATGGGTTTGAGACCCCTCCATTACCCTTAACCTGATTTAGCCCGTCTGCTGAAACATTTTATCAGAGTGTGGCTGCTGTGCATACTACAGCTTCTTGGAGCCACAGGTGAGAGTTAGGTGGGTCAGGTGGGCACCAAAGGTAGAAAGCAAGCCTGTGAAAAGGGCTCTGCAATCCTCACACCAGAGGTATTAGTCTTCCCTGAACATATCCTACACCCCATTAGTGGCATATATGTAAAAGGAAACCACTGGCTACTTTGTCTTCAGTTTCTTCCCACCCTCCAGTCCATCCATCATCTTGCTGCCAAGTTAAATTTTCTTATACATAAATCTTGGCCATGTTGCCTTTATCTTAAAGCCCTTCATTGCTACTCATTGCCTATCAGATAAGGAGGATTGCACTATATGATCTCTAAGGTCATCTAGCTCCTTGAACTTGGAATGTCCTCTTTGCCTCCATGTGATAAATCTCTGCCTAATTTTAAAACTCCATTCAAATGCCACCTCTTTCATAAAGTCTTCCCTGAATTTCCCCAGATGATAATGATCTTTTATCCCTGGGATCTCACATAGGATTAGGTAATGCACTAATGTTTTACTCTGTATTATAATTCTGTGTTTGCTCCTGACCCCAATAGATTATATACCTAATGAGTACAGAGACTTTTTTACCTGTACTTTGTATGTTGTGTATAGCATGATGTTCCACAGCTAGATAAATGTTTATTTCAATATAATTCCACATTGACTTCACCTTATTGTGTATAGATCAGTATTAGGTGAAGGTGGGAGCATATGAAGTTCATATCATAGGATCATAAGATTTATTGTTAGAAGGGACTTTTAAGTATTATCTAGCCTGACTCCTTTCAGTTTTACTAGTGAGGAAACTTAGTCCCAGAGAGGTTAACACAAAGTAGTAAGTAGTAGAGATGGGATTTGGACCCCATTCTCTGATGCCAAATTTTAGCACTTTCCACTGGACCACCCTGAAGAAAAGGTTTGGGACAAATTCTTTGGGAATAAAATAAGGAAGTGATAGGGGTGGGATGGAAGAATTGTCAAGCAGGAATTCGAGCCCAACTCTGACTGCCAGCTTATAACAGGTTAAGTCAGTTCACTTTCATGAATTTCTAGTGATGATTAGTAATACCAGAATAGGAACAGAGAAATTGAATAGTAAAGAATACCACCGGGATGTTGATTTGCAGTTGAAGAATGGTAGAGGATCAGGATTCTAGGGTAACATAACTACAGAAACATGAAAAATACTAAAGCTGGTTGTAGTGAAAAGACAATTGGACATAGAGTCTGAAAAATAAGTTTAACATTGTGACTCTTTAACTTGTTAGCTATGTGACCTTGGACAAGTCAATTCATCTTTCTGGGCCTCAGTTTCTTGTAAAATGAAGGAGCTATATTACAGGATGTTTAAGGTCCTTTCTTCCTCTATTTCTTTGACTCCGCAATTCACTTCAAACTGTGGGACATGTGAAGCACTGAAGTAGAGTGGGAGTATTTACTGGATTTGAGGAATTAAGGGGTCATCATCATGTATGTATGTATGTATGCGTGTATGTGTGTATGGTTGTTGTCCTTCGTTCTCAAAGAGGACAAAAATGATATCAGTATGCTAGAGCCAAGTTTCAGTGTGAACCAGGTTATGTAGTCATTCAGAAAGTTGAGAAATGACCTGGAATTTAGTAGTGAAAGTAAAAAAGTTGGAGTAGGTGCTAGAGATAGATCACATGTACCTCAGAAGAGGAGAGAGGTCATTAGGGGATGGTGTTAGTGAAATGGTTTGAAAGCTATAAATGGGGAGTGAAGAGTATACTGATCCCTATTCCTAGCCTTGTGAGTTGAGAGAAATAAAAAGAATGGCATTTATTGCAGAGGGTTGCAAGAGATGTGATATCTTTACTGGAGAGCCAGTTTTCTATTATGTTAAGGAAATTGAAGGTAGGTCTTTGGTTGAACAGATCAAGGACATAGGAGACTTTGTTGATGATCAGGGAGACAGAATTTAAAGAGCGCAGTGGAGTGGGCAAAAACCAAAAACAGGCCTAATCCATTTGGAATCAGTGTAGGGAGAAATAGGGGCTGTTAAGAAATGGGTTCAGGATGGGGAAGTGTAGTCATGGAATATGCATCTAATGCAGGTATGACTGAATGACCAGGATTGGAAAACTGGTGCAATAGGAAGGAGATTGATTTGGCTTGGTCTGACGACAGAATTTAAAGAATAAAAGAGTGGCAAATTGTATTTACACCAAAGTTTGAAATGGAGTACCAAACTGAAATGTCATGAAAGATAGCCTTTGATGGTACTGTGGCTCTTACTGTGGTTGGTTTGGCTAAACAAAAAAGGCCTCAATGAAGTTTGATTCTACGTGATGGTCCGTTTCTGTAACTGTGACAATTGAAATTCCTTAGTCTGTCATTTGAGATCTCTGCCTTTCCAGACTTTTCTCCTTTTCTCCATGTGCTGTACTTCAGCCAAAGTAGATAGTTCACCATTCTTAATGTGTGTCCAGTGCTTTCTTTCTTGTGCCCTTTTTACATCAGTTTTCTATACTTGGAATGTCCTTCCTTCCTTCCCCTCCTCCAGTTCCCCCTGTTGTTTCTGCTGACTCTCAAATCTTTGCAGCAAGTTTTCCTGTTTAGTGTATAGTTTCCAAGATATATAAGGAATTGATTCAAATTTATGTGATTTTCAAGGCCAACCCAAATGCCACTTCTGCTAAGCCTTCCCTGTTTCCTTTCTTTCCTTCTTTCAGTTATAAGTTTTTTCTTTCTTGGAACTTGCATCATATTTTATACAACTTTTATGCACTTAATGTTTTCTATTCAGCATTATAGTAATTATATATTTGCATATGTGTATGTATATACACATATATAATTGTATCTTTCCCAGCACCTAGAATAATGCTTTGTGTACATAGTAGGTATTTAATAAATAATAGCTAAATGAATCAGGTAATTTGTAGGACCTTTTAAGCACAGTGTCCTAAAAGGCTTAATAAATGCCTTTGATAATAAAGGAATCTGGTTTGTTAGCTCATCATTTTGCTCTTTCATGTTCTTGTATTTAAAGTCTTTTGAATTTTGTGTATTTCTATCTACATTTTAGAGAGGTAGGATGTAGTAGCTCATTGTTTAGGAAGCTGGAAAATCTGAGTTTTAATTCTGGCACCAAACTAACTTCCTATGTGACCTAAAATATAAAATTTAATTTTCTGGGCCTCTTTCCCTCATTTATAAATTGAGGAAGTTGAACTAGATGATATTAGGTACTTAACCAGTTACAAAATTCTTTAAATTCTCAATGTTCACAATTGGAAGTATTTGTATTTTAATGAGTTATTTGAAGACAGAAATTGTCGACTCTTATTTAGCTTTTTATCTTTGCCAGTTGTGGTTGTGCTCTAGTCCAGTATTGTACATAATAGGTGTTTAATATGTATTTATTAAGTAAATGAAGCTAAGTTATATGTAAGCTTTTTTTATTAAATCATGAACATTTTATTCAACCTCCCCATCCCCTTTTCCCCACCTTCTCTTTAAGATCTCAGTGGTTCAATAGCATCCCCAGAAGTCAAACTAAACCTTGGTGGAGACTTCATCAAAGAATCTACAGCAACTACCTTTCTGAGACAGAGAGGCTATGGCTGGCTTTTGGAAGTGGAAGATGATGACCCTGAAGATAACAAGCCTCTGTTGTATGTCCAAATAATACTACTCTTTCTTTTGGTTATTAAAAGCTAATTTTACTCTGTGGAGGCTGGTATTCATCTTTCATTTTATTTAGAAACAGATGGAGAGAGCTTAAAGATTGGTTTTTTAATAAAATCCATTAATTTAAAACAAAGAATTTTAGAGCTGGGGCAAATCTCAGAAGTCATCTAGACCAACCTCTAACTAAGCAAAAAATCTTCTGTGGCATCGTCAGCGAATGATCAGCTTGCCTTTTTCTGAGCACCTTTAGTGATAGGGCTTATTCATGCTGTCCATTCCCTTTTTGGATATCTACAATTTTTATGTAGATAGGAGCTTGACCTGTGATTTCATTGTTATAGGGAACTTCCCAAATGAGGGAAATCCCTCTACCATTGCAGATCAGTATCATTTCTGAAATTGATAGACTTATAGTTGCCTAGAACACAGAAAAGTTAACTGATTTATCCAGGCTCACACTGCCAGTATATTTCAGAGGCAGAACTTCAATTCATGTTTTCCTGGCTTCAAGGTTGGTTGTCATTAGACTATGCTACCTCTCCTTTATATTGAGCATAAACCTGGTTTTCTATAGCTTTTACCCCTTGGTTCTTTTTCTCCCTCTAGATCAAAACACAGTAAGGTACGTCAACCCCTCTGAAGGAAGCAATCTCTCCTTTTCTAAGGTCTCCTCTTCACTTAGTTAAATGTCAGTAGATATTTTATCAAAATTTAGATGATGTGGTTTTCAGTCCCTAGTCACCCTTTGGGTAGCTTCTAATTTAATAAAGATAGCAGAGAATTGGAAATAGTATTCCAGATATGATCTAAGTAGGTCTGAGTGCAAGAAAACTATTACCTACCTTGTTCAGGACACTTTTTGTATTAAGGTGACTTTTATGTCATATTCTTTCTTCCTGTGTCATCATAAAGTATATAAGCTCTCCATTTAGTAAGAACTCTCAGGAAGTTGGAAAATTTCCCCCTTTCCTTTCTCTAATGGATTCTGTAATTAACAGATCAGGTCAGCTTGATATTCAGTGAAAGTAAAGATGACACATGGGATCTATAACCACAGATGGAAAGACATACTACTAAAAGTTGGCGCTTACAGAAACAACCCTGTATATATTTTTATACTCAGGCTTAAGATTACTGGCCCTGTTCCTAGCCCTGGTAATTTTGAAGTGACAACATTCCATATCTTTTAAATTATAGGGAGGAACTGGACATTGATCTGAAGGATATTTACTACAAAATTCGATGTGTATTGATGCCAATGCCATCACTTGGTTTTAATAGACAAGTGGTGAGGGACAATCCTGATTTTTGGGGCCCTCTAGCAGTTGTTCTTTTCTTCTCAATGATTTCATTATATGGACAGTTCAGGGTAAGTACACTGCTTTATTTCATACATTTTTAAAAAGTGTTTTAATATTGAATATAGTCAAGTATTTGTTTTTCCTGGTTAACTGAGGCTATAGATACCTTTAGAATAATAAAAACTTTTGGTCAATCAAAAATTTGCCAAACTAAGTTACCCCTTCCTCCTTTGATTTGCTTTCAGAGTTAGTGAAGAAGTCCAGAAGACTGATTTGTTTAGGAGTATTGGTGTATTAAATCAACCAATTTGGCTTTTTTCCCTACTAATAAAGAATAATAAATATATTGAGGGTTTTTTAACTTGGGATCCACAGGGCCCCAAGGACACTAAAGTACCCCAAGGATACTAAAGTACCCCAAGGATCCCTGAGGTTGGATTGGAAAAACTATATTTATTTCAATATAGTTGGTTTCTTTTGTAGTCTAACATATTTTATTTAATGTACATAAAAACAGTATTCTGAAAAGAAGTCTATAGGATTCACCAGATTGCCAACGAGGTGTCAGTGACACAAAAAAAAAATTAGTTGCTGAACTTGATGGTACCGTCAGTGAGTCATGTAATGCAAAGGCAGTCCTAGTTTTACTCATACTTTATTTAATATCCAAGATTAGAATAAGTGAAATTCTACAATTTGTATGCTATTTTTATAGGTCACTGAAACAGTTCCTTCAGCTTCCATACCGGTTATTTGTGGTTCCCTGCAACTTTCAGCAGCCCCTATTTTTGTAGACCACTGATTTCCTCCTCTCCAGTACTCCTAAATTCTTAGTCTTCCAAATTTGGATGGTGAGCATTTTACAAAGCCTTGCCAGTGTGCTAATTGTCCCCATTGCAAACAGATGTCTCTTAGAGAAGTCTTGCCAAATTCACTGACCTCCTCCCTTTTCTCTGTCTCCTGCTACTGGTTCTTTCTTTTGTGTTCAATCTGCTCCATGTTTTTAGAAAATCACGATGGTTTACTAATTAGTTATTTTACTCATACACATGTCAAAATTACTCATGAGAAATACTAAGATACCTGTTAAAAGGAAAGTTGAATTCTTTAGGTCCAGACTTATTGCTTTATAGGTTAGTACAATGTTTTTATAAACATTCAGCATTTGAAATAAAATCCTCATATTGATTTTTGTTTTCCCTTTTGTTAGTTTTTATGCCAGTTATTTGAAATAAATATTGTTAGAAAACTATGACAGGGGTCTCCAACAGATTGATTATAGCAATTCCCTCTCAGGTTTTAGGCATCAAACCAAAACACTGCTTTTATCCTGTGTTTTTCCATATTCATCTCCCCACCTCCGAGATTTCATCTTTAGTATCAACACACACACACACACAAACACATATACACCCATTCTTTTAGGTGACCTTAAGGATTTAGGAAAACAACAACTTTCTCTAAACACTTAGCAGCTCCAGAGTTGGGGTACCTCTTAATTATAAAGGGGAAAGGAGTACTCTCCAGACTTTCCAGGCTCCAGTGTGTACTTTTTTATAACCAGTGAATTATATATAGCCACTAAGTTTGAATCTTGATGATTGACAATTACAATGTACCTTACAAGAGGAAAAAAATTGTGTTTAATTTTTCATTTTCTATTAAGGTGGTTTCATGGATCATAACTATCTGGATATTTGGCTCCCTAACAATTTTCTTATTAGCCAGAGTACTTGGTGGAGAAGTAAGTAACTCTATGAAAATTATCCTTTATACTTAAGTGATAAAATTTTGTGTTCCATAGACCCATTATAATGTGTATGATTTTAAGAATAATTCATTTGTTAATAATAGAAAAGGTAACTGTGAGAACAGTTTCTCACTGCATACGCTTGACTTTTATAACAGTTCTCTGAGAACTTTAACTTGTTGGGAAAGGAATGACCAAAAATTTGAGAACTGGAACAGACCTTAAAGATCATCTAAAAGAACATGCTTATGTTCTTGTACATGAGGGAAAAAAAGTACATCAGAAAAGCTCTCTAGAGGATGATCCTTAACTGATCCTTAACATAGGGAGAAAATTTGAACTGGCTTTCCAAATCAGAGAAGATTCGATATCATTATTATGTACCTCCTCTTGCCCTCCAATTAAAATAGTCAGTATTTTATTTTATCAGTTTTTACTAAATTTTTACCTCCTAAAAGTTTCCTTAATTCTTTCTAGTTTCCCTTTCATCAAACCAGGAATAATTGAACATGCCAAGGAACTATGATTTTGTCAGTAACCTCTGTATAATTTAAAGTCTAAGAGATTGGGTGAAGCTCAGAGAGTTCAAGTGAGTTGTCCATGGTCACACAGCTAGCTGGTATCAGAAATGGAATTTGAATTAAATTCTTCCTAAGTCTACACTTTATTGTGGTACTTTATTCTGTAATTGAACATAGAGGGAACTGAGACAATTATAATTTTTTTGCGGGGGGGGATCTCTGCAGCCTTTTTTGTACACTCAGGCTTTAGATTTTTTAAAATTAATAAGCGTTTGTTTTCTTTCCCTCTTACCTCTCCCCACACTGTAAAAGAAAAAGAGAAAAAAAGTCTTGTAACATATGTACATAGTTAAGCAAAACAAAACATTGAACACATCCAGTCAGGCTTTAAATTATAAGGGGCAGGTAGGTGGTACAGTGAATAGAGCACCGGCCCTGGGGTCAGGAGGAACAGAGTTCAAATATGACCTCCGACACTTGACAGTAGCAGTGTGACCCTGGACAAGTCACTTAACCTCATTGCCTAACCAAAAACAAAACAAAAAAACCCAACAAATTATCAGGGAGAAAAATCTATCTTGATTTCACACTCTTGTTGTCTTTCATGAAATATACTTTAGTAAAGCAATTGCTTTTCCCCCCATCTTACACATATCCTGTATCAACGTTGAACCTAGGTCATCATCTCCCAAACTGTCTTCTGCTGACTAGTTAGTTGTATTTCCATGTGATGTAAATAATGAGTCTGTGAATTTCAGGCTAGTGATAATTTTTCATTTTAGAATATCAAATACAAAATTATAGATGAAAAATATTTACTGCATGTTAGTTTTCAAAAATATATTTGATTTTCTCTCTTTTGCTCTAAATATCTCTGAATATCCCCCATTTTAACACAGTATTCTATACCCCCAGATCTTTCCCTTCTCTTGTCTTCGATTAGTATTAATTGGTTCTGTCAGTGTCTTTTTATCCTAAAAAAATTCTGTTCACAAGTTAATTTGAGAATTGTTGCCCCAGAATATAGTTAATATTATATGTCTGTATTATGTGAATTTATGTACATATCAATCAATAAATAAGTTCTCCCACCAGAACTAAAGATGGGATGTGACCACTCCTGTTCCCTACTTTGGCATTAGGATCCACATCTCAAGTCTGCCTGTAATATTCATTTTATCTTTTTTTGGTAAATTTTATTATTTATTTTAAACTTAAATACAAAACAAGAAAAGAAAAAAACATTGCTGTGTAAACATAAGAGAGGATTCAATATGAAACAGTTTTCCGTTTCAGGAAAACCTATATAATAAATACTATACATTGTTTTCAGAGCTGCCCCATTTTTCTTTGCTTCATTTTGGGTTTTCTTTTGTTCTCTCTAGTATGTACTTTTTCCTTTATGTTTTTTCTTCTCCTTTTACTCTTCCCCTTCCCCATTCCTCCACCTCTGCCCTAAAGAATGCTATAATTAAGGGTGGAGATATATATATATATATATATATATATACACACACACACACACACACACACACATAGATAGAGATCTATAAACATACACGTACATACACATATACACTCATATACATATATGTAAGACCATACTGTGCTTATTTCCTCTGTCATTTGTTTCTCAATGTTCATTTTATCTTAATATCACTTGTATGAAAGAATCAGCAAATGGGAGAAAGGGGGTAGGACCTGGACTAGACTGATTTGGGTAATAGTATATGAAGTATGATTTATTTGTTACCTCATAATTATTTCCTAATACTTATATGTTAATTATAAACAAATAGTGTGAATGTTCGAAAGTTATTATGGTGTTCTGGATTCCTATAATATTAATTTTTAAAATTCACAGGTTGCATATGGTCAAGTTCTTGGTGTCATAGGATATTCGTTACTTCCCCTCATTGTAATAGCTCCTCTACTTTTGGTGGTTGGATCATTTGACGTTGTATCAACACTAATAAAAGTAAGTTATATATACAGTGAATATTTTATTTTTAAAGCTATATAGTATATTCTGGTGGAAAATCATTGTGCTAGTTCCCTAGCTTTAAAAAAGATTGAGATACCAACAAAACTGATTTTTACTTAATATCAAACTTTTCCCCCAAATAATATAAATGAATGAATGAATGAATCAAGCATTTATTATATGCACATTATATGCAAAGCACTGTGCTAAGCCCTGGAGATACAAACAGAAAAGTCAGACAGTCCTTGTTCTCAAGGAGCTCACCTTCTCATGGGGGAGACAATACATAATGAAAGTTTCAGCTTTAAGTCAAAGGGAGAGATCCTATGGTACTTAGGGTGCAATGGCAAAGCAGATGGTGATGCTTCTTCTTTAATATCATTTTTACTGATAAAGTCATATGATTTTCAGATATTGAACCATTTAACAGTGCCAAGGACTTTAATGACAAAACTTTTTTTTTTGAGTCTTCCATATATAAGTAGAGCATTTGTAGGAGCATTTGCTAGGCTTCTTCACAGGGGTTGTTTCCCAGGATAATAGCTCTGGGCACTAGGTTGGAAGCATTGCTATTCTAAAGACTCTTAGGTTCAGGGTCCTGGGCTGTCTTCATCTGGTCCAAGGGGAGATGGTGGTCAACATGGTGTTCAAGTTGGTATTGGTGGTTTGAGTTGCTGTAAATGTGCTGTTTCCTTCTCTCTCTGAGTGCCCCCCTGCTTCAGCTAGGCAGCCCCACCTGCCCTGTGATTGGCAGTTGATGGGGGATGGTTCACCCTTCTCCATAGGATTTGTTTCTGGGGGGTGGTAATTGAGATGGTGAGGCTGAAAGCAAGACAGGTGGTTTTTGTGGGAGGAAGGTGGGATACATGGTACTGCTATTCCCAGGGCTTTTATGCTCATCTGCCTGTTGGGTGGCAGCTGAGCAGTTGTTGCTAGTGGTGATAAGGAAAATATGCACTTTAATTTTTTATAAAGCCTACTTTGTGTAGAATATGCTTGGTGTTGGGAATTCAAAGATAAAGTAATCTCTGCCTTCAAAGAGTTACTTTCCAGTAGGGGTACAGAGTACTTACACTTAAGTGAGCAAATATAAGGGGCAGCCTAAGTGGTGAAGTGCATAGAGCACTGGGCTTGGAATCAGAAAGATTCATCTTCATGAGTTCAGATCTGGCCTTAGATACTTACTAGTTGTGTGACCCTGGGCAAGTCACTTTACCCTGTTTGCCTCAGTTTCCTCATCTGTAAAATGAGCAGAAGAAGGAAATGGCAAACTGCTTCAGTATCTTTGCCAAGAAAACCCCAAATGGGGTCATGAAGATTTGGACATGACTTAAACAACTTAACAACAAGTAAATACAAAGTAATTTCAAGTGAGGGGGCTAAAACTTGAGACAGAAGGTGCTTTGAAAGAAGTGAGATTTTCATTTTTGTTTAATTTAATTGACTTAAGTTAGTAGCCTTCTCAGAGGGTGGCCAGCAAGAGGTTGTATACTCTTGTTTATGCTTCACTTTACTGAAATAAATTTTTGTGAGGAGTAAAAGGTCTCTTCTTCATTGATACTCCTACCTGCCCCCCCCATTTGTAGGGAAAATATTTTGAAAATGTAAACTATTATAATTTCTCTAGTTCAAGTTCTCAGGGTCATTTTAAGGTCTAAGAAGCAAAAACAAGGGTATACAAACAATCCAATTAAGTATGAATCTTAGACCATGAGAGTTGGTAAGAACATAGTCCATTTAATCTAGCCTCCTTTTGTTTTTCTCAGTTGAGGAAACGGAGACTCAAAGAAGTGAAATAACAGATAATAACATAGCCAGGACTGGAATCTAGGTATCCTGACTCCCAGTCTCATTCTTTCTACTAGAGTATGAGTGTCTTTGGGGTGCTACTTAAATTTTCCACAATAATTTGTTGAGTAGGGTTTGTCAACAGTGGATGAGGTAGGTTTTTTCCTTGCCTGTAGTATTTAAAGAGTAATTTTATTTGCTAATATAATATCTTTTTCTTCCCATAAGCTGTTTGGAGTCTTTTGGGCCGCCTACAGTGCTGCTTCCCTATTAGTTGGTGAAGAATTCAAGACAAAGAAGCCTCTCCTGATTTATCCAATTTTTTTATTATACATTTATTTCTTGTCCTTATATACTGGGGTGTGATCTGAAAAAAGTCATTTATGGGTAGAAAATTAACACATACATACGCAGGCTGGAAATTCACATGGAATAGATTGGAGAAAACATGTCGATGGTGGAGTCTTATATGTTCCAGTTTTAAAGGCAGGTTTAAAATTTAAAAGCCTGCTTGTCCATTGTATTTAAGCAGTGTAGCTATGTAGATGTGTCAGAATTCTAGATTTTGTTTAAAATTCTTCATATTTCAGTGAATAAAATATAAAAGCGTTCTGTTTATAAGATTGTGTCAATATATACCTGAATACTTGTGCCAAAAGCACCAGAAACTGGCTTATTGTATTACACTTGAAGGGTAAATATGGCAAGATCTTGATAATCTAGAAATGCAAATTTTTTTTCATTTAATAAGCTGGATTTTTTTTGCACAGCAAATTCTTTAGGTATATATATTTATATATACACATATATATTTATGAAATAATCCTGATTATTCACAGAATATATTTCTGTATGACCTAAAAATGAAGATATTTTAAATTTGATGCTTAAAATTTCTTTAATTTGGCCATTGAGTTTTGTAGGTTTAAATTTGTTTTTTAAATTGTACATAACATTTTTGTATCTATTGCACAGCTTTGACACTTACTTGTTAGAAATTCTTGTTGGTAACTTCTAAAATAATTTTAGTAGTTACTACAATAGATTGAGTTTGTGCTTTTGAAAACCATTTTTGAATATCCAGAAATCTGATTTAAAATTCCTATTTATATTTCTGACCAAAGGAGCAAAGAAATGTATTGTGTATGACATTTATTAAAATTGTTAATATTAGGAAAACAGTATATTTACAAGATTAGTAAATAATTTTAAAGTGTGAATCTTAAGTTTGACAGTAAAATGGTTAGGTTTTTTTAGTCATTAAAAATTCAAGGTGGCAAAGAGAAGCTTAAAATTCACATATTAAATTGTTATTTGAAATAGAAAAAAAAAATAAAATGTTTCCCAACTGTGTGCGTGTTTTATGACAGCTTGTTTTATGTCATATTTGATGGTCTAGTGTTTTAACAAGTGACATGTGCTTTAACAATTATGCAAATTTTCAAAGAGAAATGTTTAAAACTCATAAATAACAATTGATATTGTTGCAATAATCTAACTCTAGAGATCAAGTTATGTAATGATATTCTTTTATAAAAAGCAGATGAAATGTTTTCTTGTATGTCTTGGGGTTAAAGACCATAAACTGGCAAATGTCTATCAACTATTGTCAAATCAGTATTTTGTATCTATTTTAACTGTTCTCTTCACTACCAAATGATATGTTCCCTGGACTGCAGTCTTCTTAACTGGAACCCTTATTAGTGACTCTTACCAAATTAACATTCCTACTTCCATGAACTTGGAAAATAAGAGTGAAAAAGCCTATAAGGAAAATAGTTCTCACAGACCTGATATGTTGTATTCTTTAGGAAAGTCATGAAGCCAGTATGGGTTTAGAATTCTGTGAAAAATGAGCTAACTGATTTTATAAACTTAGGATGGATAGCAGATTAAAAGTAACAGGAGAGGGAAGAGAGGCTTCTAGAAAACAAAAAGAGAAGTAATGTAACAGCAGAGCAAGGAAGGAAATAGAAGAATCAGCAGCAATGTGAAAGACAACTGTATAGACTTCAGTGGTTCCTCAGGTCACCACTGTATATAGCACAGTGAAAGTAGTTGAGGTTGATGATAATTAAGCTTGCATCAAGAAAGGTTAAATTGTGTGCAGGAAGGAGACAGGAAAATAAAGCATTTTAGATACATAGCCATTGAAAAATGGCTGTGATGCTTTAGGCGATAAACTTCTGTTATCTGGAAAATTGATTCATGTGAAATATATCATTACTAAAAGTTGCCAAACAAATGATTTGGTGTTGTGCATTTGGTACATTGGGGTGTTTAAAAAACACACCTAAAAAAACTTTAAGAACAAGAGTAAACAAAAGCGTATTTTCTCATTTTATGAGGCTTGATAGATAGCATTTTGACATGTGAGACCCATGAATGAGGAAATTTGCTTAAATAAAGGATTAGATTGAAGATAGTAAGTACAAATTTGTATTAATATTTTAGTAGTGGTACACTGACGGACAGTGAAGTCATTCTGTTTTTAGATTTTGTTCAGTGTCATATTGATTTAAGATTATTGATGGATTAGTGTAAAAATTTTTATATCATGTCTTAGTTGATTTGGGAAAAGTAAGACTAGCCAATATTTGTGCACATTTTGCCTTGTTATTATCAAATCTGCTTTTCAGGTAGTCAACCAAAAAAAGTCATAAGATAGCATGTAGGGTTTTAGCTTGTTTCATGGCTATAAAAATGAGGTGTTTTTTTGTTTTTGGTTTTTTGGGGGGGTTTTTTTGGCTAGGCAGTGGAGTTAAGTGACTTGCCCAGGGTCACACAGCTAGTAAGTGTTATGTGTCTGAGGCCTTGTTTTTTTTTTATTTTTTTAAAGAAGATAATACAATGCCCTTGTTTTTATTTGAAAAAGAAAAAATTTCTTTCGTTTTGAATATAACTGTCTTTAGACGTTCACAAGTTTGTAGATTTTTAAAGACGGGATTAATTGCTACACTTTGTCTAATACATTTGCCAGCTGTTTTAGTTAAACTTATAAATTACTAATTTATTTTAACTTAAAGTTGATGTAATAATAAAAACAATAACTTGCATTTATGTAGTTCTTTAAGATTTTAAGTGCTTTACACAAGTAATCTCATTTGATCCTCACAAAAACCTGTAAGGTAGATGCTATTATTATCCCCATTTTATGGATAAAGAAACTAAGGCTGAGCAATTGTGACTTACCTAGAGTCATAGCTACTAGGTATCTGAGGAAGAATTTGAACTTAGATTTCCCAGACACCAAATCTACTCTATTCATTGTACCATGTGGCTTCCCCAATATGTATGCTATATGTTATATGTTATATGTTATATGTAACATGTAAAATCTATAGAATTATTTTTATTCAACTTAACTAAAAACAGTAATATTTCTAAAATTACCCTGGATGCCAACAATTAAATAAAGGTCATTTTTCCTTTACCAAATTAGTGTACATTTTGGCCAGCCGTATATCTATGCCTTAAGTCAGTTGGTTTATCATCTTTCAGTAGGCAGACCCCCACCTGTGCTATCTCCTCCTTTTATAATCTTGGACTAATCCTTCGTCCCTTGTGGACCTTAGCTTCCTGCTTTATAAAATGAAAGGTTTGGAGTAAGTAATCTCTAAGGTCTCATTCCCACTCTAAATTTTTGATCCTGTGTTTTAGAATTGCCACACAATGTGATGAGAGTGACTGTGTAGCAAACTGAGTCCTTGTTTTGGTACAGGCAGAAATCTCAGTAGTGTGCTCTGGAGGGGTTATTTTAAGCATCGATTCATAGCCATCATATTTCATTCTTCTCTGTTTACCTGAGCTCATAGGTAATATCACCTTTTTAAATTTCACTTTAGAACTTGAATTTTAAAAAACATTTTTCGTTATGTGGTAAGTACTTAATGGGTGCTAGTTGGTATTTTTTGAGTAAATGGTTAGGATTTGACTTTTCAGTATAAATCAGTTAGTTAAAGCTTTAGAAATACTGACATCTCTGTAACTGAGTAGGGAGTTCTAGATGTGGCCACTACATATTTAAAAACACACACACTTTATATTCTTTGTAACAAACCAGCATGAAACCTATTTAGGATTTTACCTTGTCTTTTTGCAGATTAGGAACAGATAAATGTGGTATTACATGAAAATAAATGGTAGTTGAACTAGAATCTATTGAAAAGAAGGATTAAAAGTTATTTGCTACATAAATCATATTCATTTTTTACTTAATAAATTTTCTTTTAGAAATAAAGTATTTTTAGAATTTATAGTAGCAGTGGTTTCTGGGATGTAGTTGTTAAAATGATTACCTCCAAGTTTTTTATCAATGGTTATCTGTAATGAAAGCTGTCATTTGTAGCAGAGTATATAGCTTTTTTTTCCTTTTGAGGTATTTAATTTTGAGTTTTGCAAACACTATGCAAAAAAAGAAAAGCCATTAAGCATCCTGTCTAAATAGTTTGATATAATTAAAAATGAATATAAAAGCCATGAACTATATTTTATAAAATTATTTTGAATTAACTTGTTTATAGAATGTATGAAGTTTGTTAATATTCTTGAAACTATGTATGTATTCCTACTTGTAATCATTAACTTTGGAATAAAGCAGTCTTAGGTTTATCAAGTATAGAAACCTTGGTTTGTCTGTAACCATGGCCACTGGTCCCCTTTTAATTCTAGAAGATAACTTCTAAATCAATTTATTTATATGAAGTCAGGGGAAATTGACTCAAGTGACTTATTCTAGGAAGAGATTTGTCATCTAGAAATAAAGGAAAGAAGGCTGAGAAAATTGCTAAAAGAATACAGATTCTTTTATATTTAATAGGCAGACACTGTTGATTGATCAGAAATTTGGTACTTTGTCCCATTTTGTACTGCAGTTACAGTGATTGTTAAGTATAGTAATTATATACTATAAGTAATTGAATTATAATGACTCTTTATTAAATTATGTTCTCCCATAAAGACCATATCACAAATAGAAAGTTGCTGCCTGTCTTGTTCCATGTACAGAAGAAATTTCAGAATGAATAATCTTTTAATCATGAGAACAGAAGTGATTATTTTTGAAGATGGATTATTTCATTGTTTCTTCATACTTTTCTCAGGCCTGTTTCAAGAAAATAATTTGACAAATATGCTAGATCTCCCAGATACAAAAAGCAAATAAATGAATAAAAGGAAGAATGGTACAGTGGTGGCATAACAATGAAACTTTGAGAACAAAAGATACATTGGATCTCATCTTGAATTTTAAATAGTAATAGATATTCATGAGACTGGATTGAAGTGAAAGACCTCAAGTGTGGAGAGATAGATAATTGAGAGATTTTCCTAGGATGAATCTGCAATATGGTTAAAGGGGATATTGTTATTCAAGAAGTATTCTTAAGAAAGGAGAAAGTACTAAATTGGGTAAACCTGCAAATATGAGAGGACTGGTCTTATCAGACCCCAGTCAGCTAGAGAAAGAACCTCATTTTTTGCATAAAAAAAAGTCTTAAGTGGAGCTCAGCACCTATTTCCTTAATGTGTGTTGATGTTAACAGCATCGAGAGTGATGAATAAATGATTCATCCCCAGTTTGTGCTCATCCCAACCATGACCATTGTGGGGAATGTTGAGAGGAGAAATATGAGTGAGCATAACCCATCAGGTCTACTTCTTTATTGCACTTCACAGACTTTTTTTTTTTTAATAAATTGAAGGGTTGTGGAAACCCTGCATCAAGCATGTCTATTGGCGCTATTTTTCTAACACTCTGTGCTCACGTGGTGTTTCTTGTCACATTTTGGTAATTCTCCCAGTATTTCAAACTTTTTCATTATCATTATTATTATTATTATTTCTATTATGGTGAACTGTGATCAGTGAGTGATCTTTAATGTTACTGTTGTAATTATTTTGGGGTGCCACTAATCGATAAATGTTGCATGTATTTGCTTCACTGACTGGCCATTTCCCATCTCTTTCCCTGTCTTTGGGCCTCCCTGTTCCCTGAGACATAACAATATTGAAGAATATTACTTAAACTTAGTTCATAAAGCAGAGGCAGGTTTTGAGAGGATTAACTCTGATTTTGAATGAAGTTCTACTGTGAGTAAAATGCTATCCAACATCATTGCATGCTACAGAGAAATTTTTCGTGAAAGGAAGAGTCATTCAGTACAGCAAACTTAATTGTCTCATTTTAAGAAATTGCTACAGCTACCCCAAACTTCAGCAACCACTCTCCTGGTCAGTCAGCACTCATCAACACAGAGACAAGACCTACCAGAAAAAATATTATGACTCACTGAAGGCTCAGGTTATAGTTAGCATTTTTTAGCTATAAAGTAATTTTTAATGAAGGTATGTACATTGTTTTAAGTCTACTATTGCATACTTAATAGACTGCAGTATGGTATAAACATAACATATGCAGTGGGAAACCAAAACATTTGTGACTTGCTTTATTGTGATATTTGCTTTATTGTGTTAGTCTGGAACCAAACACAATATTTCCAAGGTGTGCCTGTAATGGCCAGAGATACAATGTTAATAGGAGGGAGCTAGATCTCAGTGAGAAACAGAAGATGGGAGTGAGAAAGTTTTCAGATGGAAGCTTCT